GTCGATTTGGCCAACATTAAATGAAATTGACCTGTCACAGTGCGACCAATGGTTTGTTTTTATGTTAAAAGGGTAGCCAACAAGCTTATTGCCCGCCATAAGGTAGGCGGCCACCATAGACCCCATTGGAGCCCTATAACCTTACTCACCGACAGAAACACAACACCACCAAAAGGTAGTGTTATTTTACTGTGGTCTTTGTAAGGTGGAGGTGAATTCCCCAGGCGGGCGCTCCAATTCGTGCGGAAAATCCGCTCTGCCCTTCCACTCTCAAATACTAGAATAGAATAGAATATATTTTACACATTTACAGATACAAAATAAAAAAAAACTCAGTGCTAACCAGGACCCTGCCTCAGCATGAGCTGATATAGAAAAATTTATTACTTGAAAGGATGTCTGGGCCTAGCATCCTTTGCTTTCAAGTAACAATAAATAAAAATAAAGTCACTGGGTACTGTCTAATTGTTAAGATCAGTACACATTATATCAATACCGAATATCATTCGTCTGTCAAATAAGACGAACGACTAACCGAATCGTAAGTTAATTATCCCAAACAAATAGTCGAGTGTTGGCTTTAAGGGCTTGATATTAACGCCACTCCTCCGAGAATAATATCTAAATCAAAATCTTTTAACAAGACCGCTCCGCAGATGAAAGGAAGTGCGCTCCGATCGGCTGTAATCATGTTTCTAGTACCCTCAAATACATATTTTCAACGTTTTGATAAACTTATAATTGGATTATGTAACGCGTCTAATCTTATATTATTATAGAGCACAGTTTATACTACATAACCTACATACTCCTTTTTACCCGACTGCGCAATGCAAGAGCGCGTAGCGCGACGCGCAGACAGGGTACAGTGTTTAACAGTGTATATATGTATGTATGTTCCTTTGTGGCACACTAGAGACCAAACGCGTAGACCGATTTTGATGATTCAGACGTCAATCGATTCATCTTAATCAAGGGAGTGCTACTAAAGATATGATAGTAATCATCAGAACATCAAATGTTATTTTAAAATATTTGTTGTGACTTTTAGAAACTTTTCTTTCATACAAACGTTATTCTGATAATGACGAACACAATTAAAAAGAATTATTTAATTTGGTTTAGTCGTTCGGAAGTGATGAGTAACTTGTTTGGCATTTCTGTGCGAGACGGAACGCACCAAGTTAAGGTTCGGCTCGGTCACCAATTCGTATGGTGCTACATGACGCGATATCAAAATCGACGCTGCCATTGGTCGCAAAATATTGTTCCCAATCCCTCTTCCTCGAATTATGTAACAGCAACTTTTTGAATACAATATAAGACTTTCAAAGATATCACATATATTATTTAAATATCCAAAATCTTAGTCTCAAAAACTCCGTAGCTAAGCTATACGAAAACCAAGTACCGGTGGTCGCTATCCGGCACAAACTATTTGACGATTAATTTTTATATATTAAAGTATATGTACATTATTTTTATTCGTAACTTTTCCTTCCTGTAGCAAAGAGAATAAAGGGATTAATGGCATTGTCGTTATTACGTAAGAAACTAAGCAATATTCCCAACTTAACAGTGTACTTAGCAAACGAAAAAGTTCGGCTCAACTCTGACATATGATTGAGATAGGTGCAACACATACCGACATGACAGAAAGTTGTATATATACTTATGTATAACCAAATTCTTTGTTTCAATTTGGTAAACATATTTACTTACAATAATAAAAATTAATTACGAAATCTCCAATCTACCAAAATATTGTAAAGCTGATGAGTTTCTATGTTTGTTTGGTTGAACGCGCTAATCTCAGGAACTACTGGTCCGTTTTGAAATCGGAGTTTATGCGACTGTATAATAAGAAAAGGTATTAAAACACGAGAGTCTGCTTATGCGATAATAGGTTGACTCGAGTGTTTTAATACCTAAATTATATGCAAGTTGCATACACTACTTTAACCTCACTCATAGGGAAAATATGAAAAGTTAAGTTAGCTAGGTAGTAAAGGACTATTTTGGAAAACTTTTCTGAAATCCCGAATACAAAACACGATCAGCAGAATATTGTACGGGAAGCGCGGTAAATTAAGTTCAAACCACGAATGCGTGGCCTCTGTTGTCTCATACAGCCTTATTTAATGGCCTTCTTCTTCTTCTTCCAGTGCCTCTTCAATCCTGAAGGTTGACCTGTAGCTTCCTTATTCCTTCCTTCCTTCCTTTAATGGCCTAAAAGATATAATTAAAAAATAAAATTGTAGTATAATGATTAAAAAGTTATTTTACAATACAGGAGTAGCAGTACTGTGGTGTTTTTTTTTTATTTAATTACGCTTATAAAGTTCTTCTTTATAAAACCATCTTTAAATTCGTTATTCGAATATTTCGACATGAGTGTATAGTATTGTATTATTATTGTTTTGTGCGCACGTATTCAAAATTAGTTCTCAATTTGAAAGTAATAATAATTGTTCTCCATTCTTAGTAGAGACGCGCTTTAGTCATAAAATTTATCGAATCGGTAATTTATGGTCTAACTAAATATTACGATTCTGAATACCTTTCCAAGTTTAAAACAATGAAATATAACGTCATTTTTATTATAAAAGCATCGGCCATTTGGAAGAATCTTTAAAGGATTTAGCATTTTTTTTATTATTATTTTTATTATCATTAATAACTGTTATATTTTACAAATAAAACTATAATTGGAGTGTACTTATTCGTCATATAACTTGGCATTAGTATTTTTCGAAATCCACGACGTAAGAACATGAAATCAATATGATCGCTGAGCGTGAGTATACATTTGTTTTCATTTTTTTAATTATATAATCAGCAACTTCCAGCAGTATTGATTGAAATTTATTTTTTTAACTGGATGTTATGCGCATTTCATTGTATTAGATTTTTGACGTGACAACGTCTTAAATTAGGTTGCGGCTGGGAGTCACTTATGAAAAAGTGTAACGCTCGGTAACGTTACGATGAGTCTCTCGTGTTAAGTTTAAGTTTACATGTACAATGTTTTAGTAAACAAAATATATTTCTATAGTTAAAATTTGTGCAATTCTTATTTTCATTCAATTCCTTGTTCCTATTGTGCAATTTAATTATATTCATATCAATAAATATTCTACCGAGAAAAAGACGTTGTCACGTAAAATCTTCGCCCGTAAAACCGACTTTACAGGCAACCATTTTTTTTACGATAACTAATGGTTTTTTCTCGTCACTATTGCAATTTGTCAAAACGGTCTTCATAGTGTGCCGCGACAAAGATAAAATTATTTTTGTATTGGATAGTGCATTTATCGAAGAATATATATGTATATCATAACGCTCCGATTTTTTTAGTGTGTATGCTGTTCTTCACAGGGTCACCGTGTTTAGGGACGGCGAGACCCTTAGGGGACCTTAAGCCGAGAATTGGCGAGTGCCTCTAGCTAGAGGTATTCCAGGTTATGGCATCTCCCCACGGGGGGAGCCTCCTCTCCGTCTGGAGCCTCTAGAGGGCGTCTCTGAGACTCTGACTTCGGCTCTAGTCAGCCTTTGTCGTGAGGAATAATGCTCCGAATAATAGGAGCGGAGCGCCAATGAAAAATGTTGCAAAGACGGAAAAAATATTCCATTGGAGAGTTTCCGGTGTATGCGCTGCGTATATACTTGTATATACTTAGAGTCATGTATGACGAAATTTTACACTTTTAAAAGGTGTCTCACTAAAACCTTCATTTAATTTTCCGTCAAGGGTTGTCTGGAAGAGATTGTTATTAAGCAATAAGGCCGCCCATTGTGTAATGTACCTCTGTCAGTCTAATCTTACTGTGATGTCCTTTGTGGTGTTATACAATAAAGAATATTATTAATATTATAATCTTTTTCCTCTTATTGCAGGGCACCTCTAGTGTCAAAATAAAAGTATATAGATAAAGCTATCTCATTGGCTCTTGGTATTACCGAAATAGATAAAAAATTGATTTATTTAATTTTATGAAAGACTAGCTGTGCCCTGCGGTGTTACCCGCGGTTTATTAGGGATATTTTCCCGCAGTACAACCTAGCCTTTGTGTTAATCCAGGGTGTCAGCTAACTCCATACCAAATTATATTAAAATCGCTCCAGCCGTTTAGACGTGAAGAAGTAACAAACATACACACTCACAAACTTTCGCCTTCATAATATTAAGAAAGTACGGTCTTATTTCATAAAGAATATGGATTTCCTGCTCCTACGCATATCTCTAATAAAGCGTAGGTAGGTAAGTAGATATCCTTTTTTCTTGGGATTCAGTGTTGATGTTGGTACTGATAATGTAACGCCGTGTGTCAGGAATCAGATCGGACGTGGAAATTATTATATTCTTAGAATTACATACCAAACGAGCTTATTCAAATACATACCAATAAACAATGGCATATTTACACATTTAAAACATATCCGTACTGTACAGTAGATATTGTTAATTATTCAATCATCATGTTTACATTAAAACGAAGTACAACAAAAGTACGCTAATTAAAAACGTAACATTTGAACGGTCCTTAATAAATATCCATACCATAGCTTTCATTTATAAAGGAAAGCCATAAATCCAATTTCGTGTTAGGTTCCGTCCATTCGCGTTACAGAAGCGCCCAGGAGCATTGTAAGAAAAAACGAGGCCGTACTAAAATTAATTAGACGTCAATCGGCGAGGAAAAAAATATTCGGGCCGAAAATCGCTGAGGCGAGTTCACGGCGCGCTAAAACTTTCCAAAATCAATAAACTGTATAAACATTCTGAGTAGACATTAATGTTTCTTTCGCCGATACCCACACAACGGCGGTGGTGGCTCGTAACATTCGTGTACCTAATCGTCTACACATACACCATCGACAAACACGCAGGGACAACACGCACGTTCCCATAACCATACGCCTTCGGCTTCGCTACAACAACAATTACAACATCGTTTTCGAATTACTAAAAAAAACTGATAGAAAAGAAAAATACTCACGGTTCAAAGCGACCAGTTGAAATCGGAAAAATCCGGTTTTTCGAACGCCCTTCGTTGGCGCTCGCTTGCACAGTTTACACGAACACAGTCACTAAAAACGTACTGAAATCCCGTCACTAATGCACAAAAACACCAAAGAGGTAATCGCTGATTTTACTTTTTAACCAGTCAGGAGGAAAAGGTTATGGCATTAATCCTTCTCTCGCACCGGAATACGCGACTACGCGACGTCGATACGCGAACTGAGTAGCCATGACAGTTTGCTGGGGTGCGCGCATGCGTCCTAAGCACCACCTTAAGGTCATTCCCCATTGTTCGCCCCCCGTGATGAGGGTACAAAATTGATGCCAACTCAAATTGGGAGCGAAGAAACCTTTTTAAGTTTCCAAATACCATTTCGTGTGTTTCTTAACCAGCGTCCATTTCGTGACACCGTCTTTAAGTGCAAGGAACGCTCAAAACAATGTGCTTTTACAAGCTTTTTTTTTCCTACAAGTCTCATTCATGAAAGAGAATTATGAATTCCACTTATTACATTACCCGCTGTGAGCTCGTCTTGTTTTTAGTAGAAGGCCTTTAATGGGAACTTAAAACCTTCGCGTTTTACGATGACTACATTCGTTACATGAAAATGGTTGTTACAGAAAGCCTTCTTGTTATATTATGCGAATAAGATTTATTCAATTCCTCATTTCTAGTACACGTGTCGCCTCCTTATAGCCTTGTAGTCGTTCAAACGAGGCGTGAACAATCACTAGTAGGCGGCTGGTTACTATGTCGCGCAGGGATACAGCGGGGCCTGCAAATATTGTTCTTATTGCTAAGTAATAAAGCTATATACGCCCCTGCGACTCCATTTGAGGGTCCGGTCTCCATTTTCCTAGATAAAATCTTTTACCTTCTTTCGGAATCTTTCCTTCAATATTTTATGGATGCTAGATTTTTTTTCTGCCGTTCCTAACACATGAGTATATTACAAAGCTGTGACTAACTGTAGCTACCTATCAATAGTCGGACTAGTGATGTGCCCCATGGAATATTTAAAATTCCCACTAATTTACTAAATTTAAATACAGGAATATTACCAATAAAATCATTTAAAATATAATCGGGAATATTCCAGGAAATTTTCAATATTCCCAGTACACCACTAAACGTTTAAGACGGCTATTGTCTCCGTACTGCATTTTATAAAATCGCATTTCATAATATAATGATTGCAAAAGTATTAATGGTCAGACATGGTCAGACCAGACCACAAAATAGACAGACTATGTATTTATTTATGTATACCTACCTATTTTACCCAGTGATTTACCCGCTTTATTTGTTTTATATAGACTCACGTTTGACGATTTAGTTAGTGTTCAATATATTTTTCCTTAATTAATAATATATTATGATTAAACTTATCGAACAAAAACAGAAAAGAATTTTAATTATTATTTAAAATCCTGCTTTAATCTCTCGCGTCAATCAAGGCGAGCTTTCTTTATGATGTAACTTTAGTGAAAGGTTTTATTAAGCTTATCGGATTTACTTCAATTATCGGGATTATGAGCGTTTAATTGGGGTTTTTTAAACGGCCACAATTCTTCAGAATATAAATAACGTGATTGATTAATTATTATAAACCTAAATAAGAATACACACTTGTGTGTTTTGAAATTAAAGAACAACTTGCCGGGTTCAAGAATTTTATCAATCTACATAAGAAACAAGCACATACTTTGACAACTCCGTAATCGTACAGTCATCGTTAAATTTTGTATGAAAGGAGCCAGTTTGTTCTTACGTCCGGTAGGGGCGCTGCTTAGTTATTATGGAAACTTTAACGATGCAATTCGATTACGAAGCTGTCAAAGTTTGGGTTAGGCTTGTTGAAAATATGTCGAAATTTTTTGCCGATATATTTTGATTCGATATATCGATACATCGATACAAAATAACCAATATCGAAATTCGTATCAAAATCGATATTTTTTTAATTATTAGTGGCATATCACGATCTAACTAAATTCGTATAGATCTGGAAAAATCGTAACTGGATCTCAGATTAATGATATTCAACATATCTATGATCTGCGCTGTATTTAGTATTGTCTATTATTTGTAAATCTGTGTCGCTGGTGAATTAGTTGTGCTGATTTCCATTATATTCTGTGGAAGTGTGTGAATGTCTAGTCTTGTTTACGAAAGATGGCACCTGAGGCCCTGCAATCATTTTCATCATTCGAAAATAGGGTGTATTTTTAGGGAGATAATTTTCGTTCCATTATTATTCCGCGTGTCATATTTCGTGAGATACTGTACTGTCATGTAGTGTAGCGGCAATTTGGTACTTTGATAATTCTTTCTTTAATTATAATTTGTATTGAACTATTATAACTGTGCTAGGCTGACCTAAACATATTTTTGGGAAAATTGGTCCAATATATCGATATATCGAAGCCGATATTGATATTTTTTTAAATATCGATGTATCGACATATCGATATTTTTTTCAACTTTCGACATCTCTAGTTTGGGTTTGGACTTCTGCTTTTACCTGTAAACATCAACCTCAGAAATAAATAAATATTTCCAACACTCACACCAATTAGCCAAGCCCCAAAGTAAGCACTATAAGGCTTGTGTTACGGGATGCTAAGATATCGGATAGAATACATATACTGAGCATATATAAGTATATTTTTATAGAAATACATATTAAACAAAATTTTTTATTTAATGTCAATTGTTCTTATGAGTGAAGATAAATCAGTGTATGTAACTGCATATAATTTAGGTATTAAAACACTCGAGTAAACCTATTATCGCATTCGGCTTCGCCTCATACACAGACTCTCGTATTTTCCCGGGTGCCCGAATTCGAGTAATGTCTTTCGTGCACCCGTATATGGGTGAACGATCAAATGTTATTGGGGCATAATTTATCTAATTACTTGTCGGTGGCGAAGAGATGGCGCTGCCTTAAAGCTTAAGATAGACTAGAGAAAATTCGACACGGCCATCAGAGCTGCGGTAGCATAATGGTCAGTGAATTCGCCCGGATAGCGAAGGGGGAAGTGCGGGTTCCAATCCCATCTGCTGCCTGGTCCGCGTGGATTTTCTAGTAAAATTTTCTTAAAATTTAATTACTTAAATTTTTGTTACGTGGAATAAACAAACCTACCTACATTATTTTGCCTATTCATTTCACGGCACAGACTCTCGCATGTACTACTTAGCCTTGTCCCAAAGTAAGCACCTTTCTGTGTTCTGTGGTAAGCACTGTAAGACTTCTGTGATGGGATAGTAGGGTAACGGATAGAGTACAATATACTGATACATGAATAACTATATATTTTAAGAAATATTATATACAAACATTCTTGACTTAGGTATTCATCATGCAAACTTTTCCCCCACCGGGAATCGAATCCGGACTTCTGACCGACACCTGTTGGGACTTTGTAATGTGAGATAAAATACTGGGACGAACAAAGAATAAATCCTTGAAACTCGGCATACATTTCCACGGAAGCAGTCAATTATCCAGATGTCTGCGAAATATACACTGTTCCGTACTGTTAGTGAACAGTATTACTTATTTAGCTACAGTCACAGTATATATCAATACTGTGCTACAGAATTCTGTAATTTAGACGACACTCACAAGAGGCTGCTACAATTCTCTAAATCTGACAATCAACTCATTTGGGTGGACACAACTTGATGTCGACAGCACCTTTACTACATAACAATAAGAGCCATATTCGTTGTTCGGGCATATCTATTGTGTTAAATTCGCTCGTACTGGAATTCGGTATAGCTAAATATATGGCGGATTAAATTTAACGTGTAAATGGAAATACAGATCAGTTTAATTGACTACACACTGAGGTTCCCAAACTTCCTATGTCTGACACAAGCTTGAAATTGACTATACACGCTTCAAATTATTCGTCAAAGGAATCGAAGCGTTTTTGTAACTTACTGATTAGCATTTTTGAATCTGAAATATAGTTGTAGCAATCAAAGTCAAAATCAAAAATTAAGAACAATACAACTCTTTTGAGTCCATATTTAGTAATAAGTTAAGGTGCAACTTATTGTTTTAAAAGTTTCGCAACAAATTGACCGACGGAACCCTAATACTAAAGCTTAGTCTGTCCCTCTGTTTGTGTTTTTGGTGTACTCAAGTTGAGTTAATGTTAAATCTTGTTTAATAAAAACATTCTACCATACCAAGTATATCGATATGAGATAACGTACTGTAACGCCCTGTGCGTTACGGCCTTTTTTGCTTATGTAATGCCTACGGCTGGCAGTTATATTAAAAAGTTAATGTCATTATTTTAAAGATTTAAAATTGGGAATCTTTTGTCTTTCATGGACGATCCCAGCAGATAGATTTCAGGCACAGATTTGATCAGTTAACTGTTAATTAAGAATCATTATATTCGCTCTGAGTTCAAATAAAGCAAGTCAAAAGTCTTAATGATTATTATTGATCACCATTTGAGTTTTACCCCCCCCCCCCCCAGGGGTTTCCCTTCAGGCTACAGTACCTTGAAAATCTTAATAAATATTATATGCAAGTTGATCAAACATCAATATGGAAACAATTACATATTCAAGGAATTTTATTATGTTCCAAATTAATAATGGTTTAGCAGGCATCTCGTATCAACACGGAGAGGGATCGTCATCATATCAACTCGAGCTGTTTAGTTTTCTTTCTTCTTTTTATTTCTTCGTTTTACTACGAGCTTTAATATTGGCATAAATTCTGAAATCACCGACTAACCATGCACCATCCACTATTCCAAGGCGAACAAAGAAATTTGGTGACGCATTTCTTTATTGCACTATCCCTAAATGGAATACTCTGCCCGTTCACGTGTTCCCTCCCTCTTACAACCTGGGATCCTTCAAAAGAGGCGTGAAGAACCAACATGCAGGCCGGCAAGGTGAGGATTGTTGGTGTGGCAGTTAGAACTGTTACCACCGTCCGTCACTTAACATCAGGTGGGGTGGAATCATTTGTCAGACCTATCTATAAAAAAAGAAAAGAAAAAACAGATAATAAGCTAACATTAGAATAAGTGAATCTAATTAGACTTCACATCGTTATAACATTTAAGTAATTATCATTACGTCATTACGTACCCGACGTTATTCGAATTACACCGGTCGTTACGTATGCGTTACATTTACCAGTAATTCGATTTAAGACCTAGATTCTGTTCTTGGCAACATGCAAAT